TTTCTTTTTAGTTATTTATGAGTTTTAACTATAATAATATGAAAATGCATTTTAAAAAGAAACTTGTTTCTTTTATTGTCACAACAGAACAGATTAATGATAGTGGCATTAGCTAGCTTTGTGGTTAGCTAGTCTATGATGAGCCATAATTTAGCAATGGATAACGTCATACTGAAAATTGTAAAACATACATTTTCAATATAACATGCCAAGGAGAGATGATTGCTATAACTGTCACGCGCAATTAAAGAAATACTTCAGTCACATTGTCAAAAGTTAAAAGGACAGTCAGTCAACTACACTGTAACAACGTAACGTAATTATTACTAGCTTCACTCTCGGCTTATTTAACAGCAGCAAAACTGGACATGATAGTCACAAATTTTGTCATGCTTATTTGAGTTAAGAAAACTGATGGGGATGTTCTTTTAATTGTTATTCAAGCAATGTATGTCTCGTGACCAACTCAACGAGTGGGCGGTGTAGAGTGCCCTCTGGTGGACAAACTATACAACTCCAAAACTCATGACATGGTTGAAGCGCGTTTCGTCCGTTTTTATTTTATTTTTGAAATATTCATTTATCGGCCATTATAACTGCCGATACCGATAGTTTGGAAAATGCCTAATATCGGCTTGCCGATAAATCGGTCTGGCTCTAATAATTACACAGCGACATCTTAAAATAAAGCTCTAATGTTGCAAATGAATCGACAGCAATTGCTGGAAACTTTGCCACTGAAGAGATAAACTGTTAGAAAAGGAAATATCATACTAATAGTCTCGAAAAAGTATGCTTACCCTTCTTCTCGGCTTTCATCTTTTTCGCGTCATCGTTGTTTTTGGCAGGGGGTGTTTTTGTGGCGGGAGCAGAAGGGGCTGCTGGGGAAGGTGGTTGTACGGCTGTCGGTTTAGAGACACACTGGATGCTGGGCTCCGCTGAAGGCATGGCCACCTCTTTCACTGAGAAGAACAATTATTTTACTTATTTATCATTAGAAAAGCAATCCGAAATGCTCACCACAAGGTGAAGGTTTGTATAATAATTTGAAGGCGCTATATTAACACTTATCTTACACTGCACAGATTTGTATCCACTCTCAAGATTGAGAATGTCCCTCCCTCTAGTACCACATGCAACTAACTACGAATATAACAAGGAACAGCACAATTTTTTTATTTTTACCATTAGTTATTTGTTTAGGAGATTCTGACCACCCAGCAGGCATCATGTGGGTGGTCATGTCTGGGTGGTCATTTAATTCTGGACTGTAGGAAGTTTTTTAAATTCTAAAAGTCATAGTATGTTTTCAAGTACAGCATCTTCATTATTTCAAGAACATCAGCAGGAATACAGTGTGTTATGTGATATTATACCTCCTCTACTTCTTTCCAAGTCAAGAAGTTGTTTCTTCAGGTCCTCAATGTCCTCCTTGAGCTTGGCGTTCTCCACCATCAGTTTCTTCTCCTCTTTCACTGTGGCCTGCACAACTACACAAACCAACTTTTATTAACATAAATCAATTTAAGGATCCAGTCCTATTTAAAATATTATTAAAGGGAAAGTTCACCCAAAAATGAAAATTCTGTCATCAACCCTGTATGAATTTCTTTCTTATGATGACAATGTTGGTAACGAAAAAGGTCCTCCAATAGCTTGGAACAAAACACTATGGAAGTCAATCACTTGTTTGGTTACCGACATTCTTCAAAATATCTTCTTTTGTGTTCAGCAGAAAAAAAAAAGATAAATTCATACACATACTTGTGGGCAAGTTTTCATGCTTGGGAGAACTTTTCATTTCATATAGGAAAAATCCACTAAATCAAAGTGTCTGTGCTTAAAGCAACACACAACGGCTTTTTATTTTATACAATTAAAAAAATCTGGGGTTGGTAAAACTTTTTTTTCATGTTTTTGAAGTCTATTATACTCATCCAAGCTGCATTCATTTAAAAGAAAAGAAAAAAAATACAATAATTTTAATACTAAATAAATAAATATTCAGCATCGGCATCCAGTCTCACAAGATCCTTCAGAAATCTTTCTAATATGATGATTTGTTGCTCAAGAAACATTTCTAATTATTATCAATGTTGAAAATAGTGACGCTGCTTAATATTTTTATGGAAATCATGATACATTGATTTCCAACATTCTTTGAATAAGAGTAAAAAAAGTCAAAAAATCTTTTGTAATATGTCTTTACGGTCACTTTTGATCAATATAATCTGAATAAAAGTATACATTTCTAATAAATGTTTAAAACCACCACGAAAGCAAATGTTGGCAACTTGATTTTTAAGATGTTCCTTCTCTTTCATCATCTCTGGCATTTTTATTTCTCACTGACCCGTGATCAACACACACATGCACGCCTCATGCATCCGCTTACTGGCTTTCTCTTTCAGCAGCTGGACCTGCTGCTTGAGGTATTCGATGAGCTGCTCAGCCTCCGCAGCCTTCTGTTCCAGTCTCATGAGTGAGGGTGTGTGGCCAGACATCCTGAAAAGAGATCGTCCCAGGAACCTGGAAAACCAAGCCAAAGGGAAAGATCAAACGCGGTAGGAACTCTTAAACATGCAAAAAAAAAAAAAAAAAAAAATCCTCTGGGACATCCTATCTGTGCTTGGGAACATGCGGCACTCGAGAGAGCGTGACCTCTTTAAATGAGATCTTTCAGATCTTTGGCGCTCATAAACATGAGGTGTTTTGGCAAACTTTACACGGTGCTTTAATTTGTAATTTATACCTATATGTGGCCAACTTTCTGTCCTAATCCCCTTCCATGAAGGGGAATCATAATGAAACGTCTGACACCAGCCAGATGCTTAACAATAGATCGGCCAGACGCCAAACAACATGTGAAAACCTCATCAAAGAGCACATTCTCCATCCTATTCCCAGTGAACCCTATTTTGCATTCTCACTTCAGTACCATTAGATTTAACCATCTGAATCACCAAGTTTGTCAACAACCTCATTCCCAAACTAGGATGGAAATCAAGCCATGTGGCATCTAAATGTCCACGAGGAGACATATCCTGCACTGTTGCGTCACTGTCCTCTCAAGCCCCCGCCGCCACTATAAAAGCGTTTTGATTGAGGAATCCTTTATGGTTCCACAATGGATCAAACAACAATTCCCATTCAGTCAAAAGACAGCTGGTGAAGGAACACGGACACATTACACATTTGGCTTCGGCTCATCCACTGCAAAAACACTAAGGGAATTTTTACAAGGCGTAGGAAAAGAGAAGAACACATCATAACACATAGTGCAGGGTGGTGCTGGAAAACAACAGCTGGCGCGGGATGAAAACAGAGAGTTCGGATGAGGAAATTAGAAACACAAAAAAGCTGGAGTTGATAATATCGTGGATCAAAGTCTCTTGTTTTTGAAGTTCTTGAACTGCTTTAAATGGGCCTGTGGTGGAAGAATTTATGAGCTCCATGACAAGACTGTTTTCATTTGCATAACCCCTGAAAACGAGTCCCGGGGCCGAGCCGGAGCCCAAAACACTTCCAAAAACGCTCGGTTGTCACCGCTTTCCCAATAATTCCCCTCGGTTGTCACCGCTTTCCCAATAATTCAGGAGCAGCTGTCACATTCGTGTCTGAATGGCGAGGAGATAACGACCACTCACTTGTGCCACACATTAGTCAGGGTTTCCACTGGGCACCAGCAATAAAGATTTCATTCCCTGTTAATCATGTTTAAGAAATACTATCATAACTACTTGTATCCCACATGAATGATTTTATGTTATAGTAACTGTCCCAGAAATAACAGCATATTAGGAACCCAAAACAACTTAAATTTATGAGTTATAACAATTATTATTATATACTTATTCAATTTATTTATTAAGTTTAAGTTTCGCAAAACCAACATACAATGCTCATTTTATGAAAAAAGAACTGAAGTTCTGATTTATATACACACATCATGACACTTATTAAAGTTTACAACACCTCCATGCTATAAGTCACTTTACTGATTTGTAAAGTAGATGTTTTATGCAACTGGACTCTATTATGTTAAACTAAATGAAGGATTTCACTCATGTAGCCTGTGTAAAACACTGTATAATCATGAAATATGATTGCACATTGCACTGTACATTTGCTAAATGAATTGCAATGGTTACACTCTATTTGAAGGTGCCCATGTTACAGTGTCATCATATATTTAGGAAGTGATAATGATTAACTGCATGTACTTACTATAGGGGGAAAGAAGTGGTTTAGGGTTAGTTACATGCACCATTAATAGTATAATGACTAGTAACTACATGTAACAGACACTGTAAAGCAAAGTGTTACCATGTATTTTAACTGAAATGGAAGGATATACACAGAAAACACTTTAAAAAATACATTTTTATACGTTGACGTGTTGATCAGGTGAATAAACTGGTTTGACAGGCCATATACTGCAAGTGAAAGTAAAGACAGAAATTGTATATTAAGAATTGTTCATTTCAAAGAACATTGGCGTAAATGTTAAGCTTACAAACACAGAGAAGAAATAACAATATATTTATTTTTTTATTTATAAATTATAATAAAGCAGTTTCATTTTTTACCATTCACAGCAGATTTCTACGCAAGGATGAGCATTTAAAAATAGTGTGCCATAATATGATGTTTTCATGAGTAGTGTGACATTCATACAGGAGGATCATCATGACTGATGACATTATTGTCTTTTTATAGACACCGTGCTGACTGTCACTCAATTCACACACACTTCATGTTAGTCCACACGGCATTTTTGTACGTCTACAGCTCTATAACAGAGAGTTGCATTCCCAATACATTACATTGACAAATAAACAAAACATTTATTCGTGCACTAGTACTCACATACAACTGCAACGGTATGTTTCTTTGCTATAAAGCCACACGCTACACACTCTTCTCTTGCCGGCGTCGACGGGTGATGACGCCACCGGTCACGCGTCGTTCAGCTGTTCGCTGGCGCGGGGTAAACACGTCACGCGGTTCAGCTGTTTACAGTGTCCGGAAGACTCCACCGATCTCTCAAAATCACAAATATATACCTGTGATATTATCAATGGACACGTGAATCAAATGGAGCAGTCTTTCATTTCAGATAAACGGGTATGCTGCTGATTTTATTTTGCGTTTGTAATTCACAGTTCAAAGCGCCAGCAAGCATGCACAAATCCATGTGTGTACAGTATATTTCAATTACATATCAAATAGTAGCAGCTATCGGTTTAGTTTATGGTGTAATCATATAAATGACAAGGTATTATGCTATGCTGTAAAATGAAACATACACGTTTTACAGTTATGATTAATCTAGGTTATCCTGATATATTAACTGGTGTAAGTAACTATTTATATTGTATTAAAAAAGAAAACATTATCAGAAATCATCTGAAATCATATCACTGATTTCAGAAATGACAAAGTAATGTACGAAAATCATTTAAAAGCATTCAGCGATAAATAAGTTTATTCTGTGCTCTGTGTCAGTGTGTTTGTTGAGCATCAGGTGAGTCATGAAGCCTCTCAGAGATGCTGAACTGGGGGCCTCCACCTTCTTTGCTTCTCCTCTTCCTCATGATGTGTGTGGCAGCAATGGACTTCCTCTCACCCCAAACTCCATCAAGATCCTGGGACGCTTCCAGATTCTCAAGACCATCACCCATCCCAGACTGTGCCAATATGTGGACATCACCAGAGGGAAGCATGGTATGTTCATGGCTTTCTTGCTTTACTGTGTTTCTCTCAAATATTCGCAAATAAAATCGTCCAGCGGTAATTAATAGTAAATACCGTTTTTTTCACAGATATAACTATAAACATTGCGGCTACTCTCTTAGGATCTTTAAAAAATGTGTTGGCTTTTATCAGAAGTGCTTGTTTTAGCAATAGTGTACCTTGTAAACCAGTGTTGTAGTACTCGAGACTCGGACTCGTCTCGGACTCGGTCTCGAGACCATATTTTAATGGTCTTGGTCTTGTCATGGACTCGTGTGCATTTGGACTCGGAATTGACTCGTACTCGAACATTTTTTTTTTTAGGACTCTGACTTATTCCCGAGTCCACTCGAGTTCAATTCAAAACATTTTTCATGATTATTAATGTATGTTAATAAAATATTTCTTTAAATTGATTGACACGCCCAGTGATTGGTGATTTTCTAGTGCGCAACTGCGCATGACAAATTGTAATAAAATTACTTTTAACACCACCTACTATGTGGCCTTTTTGCCCTAAACTGATCATATTTTTTAAACTCTAAGTAAATTCAGTAAAAAAAAAAAAAAAGGATTTCTCTAAGTAAATTAGGTAATCAACCCTCACTGGTCTCGGTCTCGACTCGGACTCGACAGTCTCTGGTCTCGGACTCGACTCGGACTCGACTCTCTATGGACTCGGTCTTGACTCGGACTCGACTCTCTCTGGTCTCGGTCTCGACTCGGACTCGAGTGATGTGGTCTCGACTACAACACTGTTGTAAATTGTTGGTTTCATAATTGATGAGATTTGCAACATTGGCACTGTTATTAAACTGAATTGAGCTGCTTTATTTTTATAATTGATAAATTTGTCATATTCACAGTTATTTGACTGTAAAACTGCTTTGAAACAATCATTCTGTAGGTTATAAAGCACTATGTAAATAAAGTCATCCAATCATAATAGAGCTTTCCACATCAATAAAATTTCTTTGTCCAAAATGTATCAGATTTTGGTAACAATTTACAATAAGGTTTCATTTATTAACATTTAATGTATTAACTAACATGAACTAACCACGACCAATACATTTGTTACAGTATTAATTCATCTTTGTCAACGTTAGGTAATAAAATCCAGCTGTTTATTTTTAGTTTATGTTAACACATTAACTAATGTTTACAAATACACCTTTTGATTTTGATAATGTATTAGTAAATGTTGAAATTAACATTTAACAAAGATTAATAAATGCTGTAGAAGTGCAGTTCATTATTAGTTCATGTTAACTAGTGTTGTTAACTAATGAAACCTTATTGTAAAATGTTACCCAGATTGTTGTCATATCTAGTTGGCTGTCTATTGGACATCCTTCTCTGCAGATATTAAAATTAAAAGAAATATCTCATGGCACGTTTTTGCAAGTCATTAATGTTGAAATGTTTTCCATTTTCTTTTAAAGGCACACTATGCAGGAATTCCGTTTTTTGTCAAACAGCGACCCCTAGAGTCGCTGTGGAGTACTTGTATTTAATGTTACTGTCGTAAATATCACTCACGCAGAGAAGTTGTTATATCGAGGTACAAATCTTGCATAGGGTGCCTTTAAATAAGAGATCTCGGGGGTGTTTATGGCTTAGCCCAGCCTTTCTCAAAGTGGGTGCCGCGGCACACTGGGGTGCCCCCTAGCTGTGTCAGGGGTGCCGCCAAAAAATTACGTAGGCTAAAAAAAATGTGAAAAAAAAAACCCCCAGAAAAAAAAACAGCTGACATTTCATATATAAATATATTTGAATTTACATTCTTCTTTTTAAACATATGAACATATTAATAAAATTGTAAATTCATTTTAGATAAATATATAAAATTAATCATAAAAAATCCGTCTCACAAGACCGAAGCAAGACACACACAACTTGACGCAAGTGACGCAATCCATAGCAACGCGTTATAGCAACACCTCAGACTGACAGAAACGTAAAAATAAACGTGAATTTAGGCCACTTTAGTTACAGCATTATGGATCGTTTTTTGAAAAGAAAATCCCCACAAGAGCCGGGGATTTTTATTTTATTTTATCTGCATCCTGCACTTCATTTGAGTTCTCCTGGTCTGGATTTGTTATTGGGTTCTTGTATTGGGCGGTCCACCTCTTACGGTTTTATAGCATTTGTGTCTCTGATTAATTATTTTGTGAATTACTTTCCAAACCTGTGTTTTTAAAGGTGCTATAAAGTTTTTATTATTATTGTTATTTACAGTTCATATTATGCTCTGTTCATTACTGTTCTGTCTAACTAAACAAGACATTTGCATTTAAATTTGGGTTATGCAGTGTTTTTAAATTATATTTTACACTGGGGTGCCTTGAGATTTTATGCACTTTTGAAAGGTGCCCTGACTGAAAAAAGTTTGAGAAAGGCTGGCTTAGCCTACTATGATATTAGATTACGTAATCTATTATAAAAGATAATGAATTTCAAACCTGAACCAAACATTTTTTTCAAAGATCAACAGTCTGTTATTAGTCTTTAGTTTGCCACTGAAAAAACGGCTTGTTGTGGTTCCGGTACACCAGACATGTCAACGAAACGAATTAATGAAAATTAGCTTATCAATGTATATCTAAATTTGCACCTAATCTTTGTAGAACTTCAAAGAAAGATACTGAAAAGATGCTGCAGTTTTTAAAATTTTACCAAACAATAACTGCTCAAGATTTTGCTTTAGTATAATTTTCGGGACAATTAGGGCCGGATTCGGGACAACAGCTTAGATTTCGGGACGTCTGGTCACCCTATGCGTCTCCACTCACGAGATTTGTCAGGGGTGCTCTTGCAAAACTTGCATTGCTGGTTTTACCAAGCTTTACTACCAGGATGATTCGCCCTACTATGAGTTTGTTTACCACCAAATTGACTTTGAAGCTGTTATATTAAGGTACAGTTCTTGCATAGTGTGCCTTTAATGCCTCATCAAGTCTGGTTTTGTTTTCTGGTGCTCTTCAGAGGTTCATTCTCTTTTATCTAGTGATTTTTATCTCTGCGATTTAATGGCATTATTCATATGCGGGAATGTCTCTTTTATCTTTATTTGCTTTATGACTGTTAGTTCAGTATTTATCATGCACAATGCACTTTGGTTCATGCATGAGTGCCCAATGAGATGGATGTATGTAAGTCCTTATGACATTATGCAGATTTATTAGTGTTATAACTTTCTTTCATGTTTGAGAAATGACCTTGAATGCAGGTCATCATCTTGCTGGAGGGAATATTAATTTCTGAGGATATTGAAAAACAGTTTTTAAGTCTTTAGGGAATAGGTTTTTTTCTTCTTCACTGTGCTGATTAAAATGGGAATAGTAAACAAGAATCTTTTATTCTTCAGAGCAGTTGCAGTTGCAAAATAGATATTTTTTTTTAGATATCGTGAGATTTTCTGGATGTTTTTTAGTTGCACACTTGCATGTTGAATATCTTTTCTTGTTGCACTCTTAAAAATCAAAGTACCAAAAGGTTTTTTGTGTGGAAGTGCAATGGAAGTTCTTGAAAGAGTCTCTTTTTTAGTGTGAAGAACATTTTGCTAATCTAAGACCCGTTTGTGTTTTAATGAACTGTGCAATGGAAAGATTCCATGGATGTTAAAAGTTCTTCATCAATGCCTTTAGTTTTGGATGAGAGCTGAACTGAGACGACGATGACATCACTGTTGTCAGTAGAGCTTCTCTATAGCTGAATTGAACTCATTTCATCCATGAACTTAAGACGGTTATTGAACAAAACAGAATCGACACTGAACTGACTTCAGCTAAGCAATGACTCTAATTTTCAATTTATGCTTTACTGCAGAATTGATGTTAGTGCATCATTAAATCATAATTTTTTTTTGAACAATTTGTATTGATTAAAGCACTATATCAATGAAGGTGACTCTCTTTGTTTACCCTGTACATGTGTCGGCGAGCCAATTCCCCGTATTTATCAATAACGTCACAGTTAGTACACCCATGAGCAGTAACCAAATTACCCAGTTTAAAGGGAATAGTTCACCCTTAAGAGTTTCTTTTGTCATTTGAATGCAATCAAACAGTTGACAGTAGCCATTGACTTTCACAGTGTGAAAAAAATACAATTGAACTCAATGGCTCCCGTCAACTGTTTGATTTACAACATTCTTCAACATATCTTCGTTTGTGTTCGACAGAAGAAAGAAACGCATACAGGTTTGGAACAAACTGAGGGCAAGTAAATGAGAAGATTTGAATTTTTGGGTGAACTAACACAAAATACACATAAAAAAATTCTCACGTCGTTAACCTACCGGTAATACAGCAGAGAATAGCAATATTTCAGAGAATGTTTTTTCCCGTGTTTGTTATCTTTTGCAAGTACTTGATTTAAACTCTTTGTTTTTTGTTATTTTGCAGAACGGCTGGTTATTGTTGCTGAGCACTATGAAAAAAGCCTAAAAGATCTTCTGAAGCAGGGGAAACCAGTCAGGTAACCATCAAGACCAACTGAATAATGCACCTCGATGAACGCACACAAGTATGGAAGCTTGTTTCCGCCACTTAATAAAAATAAATAAATAAATAATTGAGACTTTTATCTCACAATTGCAGACTTGTGAGTAATAAAGTAGCAATTGCGAGATATAAAGTCGCAATTATGAAAAATAAAGTCGCAATTGCGAGAGAAAAAAATACTTTTTACCTCACAATTCTGACTTTTTTCTCACAATTGCGAGTTTACATCTCGCAATTCTAACTTTATAACACAAAATTGCGAGTTTATATCTCGAGATTCTGACATCTTTTCTCAGAATTGTGAGATATAAAGTCGCAATTGTGAGTTATCAGGCCAATTCTAAGGGAAAAAAAAGACTTTTCCGACTTTAAAGAAAAATTCTGACTTTAGAACACGCAATTGCGACTTTATTTCACACAATTTTTAATTTATATCTCGCAATTTAAAAGGTTATAAAGTCAGAATTCCGTGAATTAAAGTCGCAATTGCTTGTTGTAAAGTCAGAATTGAGATATAAACTATTCTGGGGGGAAAAAAGTCAAGTCTTTTTTCCTTAGAATTAGCCTGATAACTCGCAATTGCAAGTTTATATCTCACAATTCTGAGAAAATATGTCAGAATCTCAAGATATAAACTCACAATTTTGTGTTATAAAGTCAGAATTGTGAGATGGAAACTTGCAATTGTGAGAAGAAAAGTCAGAATTGTGAGATAAAAAGTCGCAATTAACTTTTTTATTTTTCATTCTGTGGTGGAAACAAGCTTCCAAATGTTTGCAAACAAGTGTTCAAATGATTGGGGTCATTTAAAACATTTTTTTTTTAGATAGAAGTCTCACCAAGGCTGCTTTAATTTGATTAGAAATGGCCAAAGCCATTACTCCAATGTTTTCAGTGTCACATGATCTTTCAGAAACCATTCTAATATGCCTATTTACTGCTCAAAAAACATTTATTATTACGCTATAATGAATTTTTTGTTGTCTAGAAGGTTCTGAAATGTTCTGTATTTTCTGAAAGGCATATTTGAACAGTTCATATATTCTTCAGACTTCAGAAGTTTTATCAGTTTTGTTATTTTAAATCTGTTCTACATTATGAGGTTAAAAGACCCATTGGTATTTGTGGCAGAGCTTTTTTTTGTTGTTCTGAGATTCATTAGTGGTTTGTATCCTCTCATGTGGAAGCTATTGACACCGTTGTCACAGTTGGACAGTTTTTGCAAAGATTTTGTGATAGCATTTGATCGTTGTTTGTGTTATAGCTCACACTATTATGTATAATAACAATATGTTGTGTTAATATTGAAACAATTGGGATCAATATGACAGCTGTTCAAACTTTTGCCATAGACTGAGCAAATGTTGTACTAAAAATAATTGTAAAACAAACAAACTGATTTAAAACAATAAAGCTTCACATTTTAGACAAAATATAAAACATCAAGAGACAATTTACCGTCAAATCAATCAGTCCAGGAACATTTCACTACTCCATTGAATAATCTATTTAGTATTTTCTTATATATACTGTAATGTATTCAATATATTATAGAATATTATGAACATGTTTGTCATCCAGAACTTTCTATGAACTTTGTCTAATAGAAAAAAACACCAGTTTACACTACAGTATATAAGCACTTCATTCAAAACACTGGTTATAATCATTTATTAGTTTATATGACCATCCTTATATTTTAATTCCATATTGCTGTTACAAAAGTTAAATTTTTAGTCTGGTCTGCCTCAGTGGTCTAACAGTGTTCGTTAATGTCAAAATGATTGAGATGACCAATCAAATCAGTAGGTTTCAAATCAGTTTTCTTTTCACAATATCAGAGTGTGAATTCCAGCGCAAAGCGTCAGTTTAATGTCGAAAGACAGTGAAGATGTAAATGCATGTCAACTGTTTAAACTGTCAAAATTTTTACCCACAGTAACATCTAGTAATGCAAACAACTAACATTGTGAACTAACATGAACATTTTTATTAACAAAGGATAATAAATTGCTCTGTGCATTGTTAGTTCAAAATAAACCTTATTGTAAAGTGCTTGCTTACTTTCAGCTCTTTTTTTTCATGCAGTATCAAAACGCACATATACAGTTGTAAAAGCAGCATTCCTAGCTAAACCAGTGCTATATTTCCAATAACTGAACAGACTGCTCATATTCTGCCATCTACTGTCTAAATCAGACTGTTTATTTTGAATGAATGCACTTAAATGAATTCAAAGGGCATTATAGAGTATTTTGCCATGCTATTTCTAATGTGTAGCATTGGATTATACCTTTTATTTGACTTCACGGTGCCTTATTCAACCTATACCTTATGGCATAGGTTAATGTGTATACCATAATTACTTAAATTTATATATTACTTTTGTACAGATTGAGTGAGATTGAATTTCAGTTTGACTTGATTATGACACTGACATCACTAGAAAATTAATATAAATATTAAATTGACTCATTTTCGGATGTTGTTGTCTCTCGCTTAGTCCAGAGATGGTGCTTCACATTGCCTATGAAGTGCTAGAAGGTTTGGAGTTCATGAATAAACATGGCATGGTTCACCGCGCCTTGTCTCCCAACAATGTTCTATTGGATCGTGAGGTATGTGGAATCACCGAAGTTTATTGAGAAGTCATTGGCATGCTGCATGATGTACAATTTGTTTTTTTTAATTTTTAATTTAATTTTAATTTAATTTTAATTTAAGTTGATTTTAATTTATTTTAATTTTATTTAATTTTATTTAATTTTAATTGTATTTTAATTTTATTTAATTTTGTTTAATTTATATTCATTTAATTGGATTTTGTTTTTATTTTATTTATTCATTTATTTTTTATATATAATTCTAACCTGTAATTATTGTTGCTCAAAAATGTAATAATAAAATTCATAGCTGTTGTTTAAGAGTTTTATAAAGAAATGAATAATTCTGATAAACTTAACAGTATACCCAACAGGTATAAAACAATATGAAGTTTGTCAGAACTATCAGTTTCTTATTGATACCATCTTGCTTTCAACTCATTTTCATGGAATGAAATGTTCTTTTTTACTAACTCAACAGGGTAAAGTGAAGTTGGCCAAATTCGGCCTATATCATATGACCGACCACGGAGCAGATGTTGACTTCCCTATTGGGTACGTCATTCAGCTATAATGTTTTCCATTTGTTTCCTGCCGTATCCTCATATTCCTCAAAATGAAACTCACGTGCTTTTGTGTCTATATAAGGGTACAGATAACATCTCGGCATCATTATCCGAGCAGAAAGTCAAGGCGAGCTTTAAATCTCGTCCGCCGTCTCTTTAAGATGCATTGTGGCTCTGAACCGAAGCGCCTGCTTTTCATGAAAAAAAAGATCAATGGGTCACGCTGTACTCTCATAATAAAGAAAGATGAACTAACATTAGATGTGCATCATTGTGGCTCATCTTTGTTTTGATCAAAAGCAGATCCTGGATATCAAAGCGGCTTCCTTATGTGGCATCCTAAATATCCTGATCTGAGTGGCACGACCAGGAGCCCTCATGTTCTCTAAGGGGGCTGTCTTATAATATCCGGTTGTGATTTGGGTTTTGTGGGACACTTCTTTTGTTATCTGGCATCACAAGGGCTACATCTGCTCTCTGTCAGACCTTTCCAGCAACCGTGTCATCTGTTCCTTTCTGTTTTCGTAGGTATCCATCTTACCTGCCTCCAGAGGTTATCGCTCAAGGCTGTCTGTATTCCAGCGACCCCTCGATCATTGAGGCCCCGCTTCCTTCGGGGCCCAAAACAGACGTTTGGTCTCTCGGGGTGCTTCTGTTTGAACTCTGTGTGGTACGCTGTCTGAGTTTTCATACATTCAGCTCAACAAGGACTAAACTGAATTTTACATTAATGCAAATCATTTGTTTTTTACCACCAGGATATTAATAATTTACAATGTTACATATATTATATATTCTTTATAAACATAGTTTTTCTCAGGTTTCACTTACTTGACATATTTATGCATGTGTATCAGATAAAGGAAGTAAAATGTATAAGTTACTTTTCCCATAAAATAATCCATTGAATGTAAATGTTGTTTATTGCAAAATGTCCTGAAAGGCCTTTAAAAAAAAAAAAAAACTGTTTAAATACACTGAATAATAGATATACAGACAGACAGACAGACCGACAGGCAGACAGACAGGCAGACAGATAGATAGACTGACAGACAGACAGACAGGCAGATAGACAGACAGACAGACAGGCAGATAGACAGAAAGACAGACAGACAGATAGACAGACAGACCGACCGACAGGCAGGCAGACAGACAGACAGATAGATAGACAGACAGACAGACAGACAGGCAGACAGATAGACAGAAAGACAGACAGACCGACAGGCAGGCAGGCAGACTGACTGACAGACAGGCAGACAGATAGATAGAGTGACAGACAGACAGACAGACAGACAGACAGGCAGATAGACAGACAGACAGGCAGATAGACAGACAGGCAGACAGACAGACCGACAGACAGACCAACAGACAGACGGACAGACAGACAGACCGACAGACAGACAGACCGACAGACGGACCGACAGATGGATAGATAAACATGCAGATAGATAGATAGATAGATACACAGACAGACAGACAGACAGACAGACACAGGCAGATAGGTAGACAGACAGACAGACAGGCAGATAGATAGACAGACAGACAGACAGGCAGGCAGACAGACAGACAGACAGACAGATAGACAGACAGACAGACCGACAGGCAGGCAGACAGACAGACAGGCAGACAGATAGATAGACAGACAGAAGACTGACAGACAGGCAGATAGACAGACAGACAGGCAGACAGATAGATAGACAGACAGACAGACTGACAGACAGGCAGATAGACAGACAGACAGGCAGACAGATAGACAGAAAGACAGACAGATAGACAGACAGACAGACAGGCAGGCAGACAGACAGACAGATAGACAGACCGACCGACAGGCAGGCAGACAGACAGACAGGCAGACAGATAGATAGACAGACAGACAGACTGACTGACTGACAGACAGACAGGCAGATAGATAGACAGACAGACAGACAGACAGATTACTGCAGAATACTGCTTACTGCAGAATTATTAACTTTCATTGGTCAGTTTTACTGAGTTTTTAACTGTGATCACAAAGATTCTATAACATTTACCATTCAATTCCATGTGACTTGTTTTGTTCAATAGGGAAGGCAGATTCTGCAGAACATTGATATTAGTGAGAGAATGAAATTCATCATCACCTTAGGTGAGTTCATATTTACATTACACTTTTCATCTATTCACATTACATTATTTTGCCCATATTCTGTTGTAAGGAATTTCACCATTAGCATATCTCTGAGTTTTTAATATTTTAATTTTTAATTTATTTTTTGGATCTTATTTTCTACAGGATGCATGGACGACATAATCACGGTTCTTGCTGAGGAACACGGGTGCTTGGATACTGTTAAGGTAAGTTTGCTTGTCTTATTGGATAGTCTTTTGTATTTCCACATAACCTTCCATACAAAGATAGATCTCAATTTGATTATTTTTGTTTTCTAATCCTTTTATTGCAGAAAAGTACACATTAAGAGTCACAGTAAGATGTGGTTTATCTTAGTGCTTTCATCTTTAAGGGATTTTACTTTAAACGGTTTACTTTGAAACCTCTCGGATAAACTCTTCTTAGCTTGACACTGATCGCTCACTGGTCGTATGGCTAATGTTTTCCAAATGTCCTCATAAAACCTCACTTTCAGTGGGGTTTATAGCATGAATGGCTTTGTTTCATGTTATACTAATATTCTTGTCTCTGACTTTTTTCCCCCAGGATCTGCCTGAAAATGTGCAGGCTTTATTGAGGAAATGCCTGACGTTTCTCCCTTCAAAAAGGTAGCCTGTCCACATCCTTTATCATTTCTTTATTAAAAAAGCAAACAAAAAAAACCTCTCTTATCTTTCAAAGCTTTTCGTGCAGTCAGAATGGACGGGTTGGCAGTATGTCATCATTAAACCAGGAAATCTCGTATCTCTTTTTAATTCTTGAACAAATACAAGGACTGTTTTTATAGACATGAAATGATCACTTTCTTAGTGATGGGTAATATTGTTGTATTTTTCATTTGATACTCAAATGTGCATATAAATTGAATAAATACAAATTATGATAATTATATAAATTATAAAAAAAAAACAATTATATATATACTCTATTTGAGATTATAGTTACAATAATTTTTACAAAGAAGATGCAAAAATTATGAACAAATTTTAATGAATACTCAATACTCAATAATACTATCCCTACCGAAACAACACAGCAATAAAGTCAATAGTCAGAGTCAATATAATGTCTATAAATGATTAGTATATAAATAATGACAAGAATACAGATTATTAATAATTTATTTATATATATATATATATAATAGGCACCAATATGATAATTTTGGCTGATACCGATAATTCTTTATATTTGGATGCCGATAACCGATATTGACCGATAAATCTCGAAAGTTGTATGAAAATGTATGTTTTACAATTTGCAGTATGACGTAATCCATTGCTAAATGGTTCATCATAGACTAGCTAACCATAAAGCTAGCTAATGCCACTATCATCAGTCTGTTCTATTGTGACAATAAAATAAACTTTTAGAAAGTTTCTTTTTAAAATGCATTATCATATTATTTTGGTTAAAACTCATAAATAACTACAAATAACTAATGTTAGGGAAATCTGTTAATGTTTTGTTGCGCCTTTCTGAAATAATAATAAAAAAAATAAATATCGGCCGATATATCGGCATAACGGATTTTAAAACCAAAAAATATTTGTATCGGTATCGGCCTTCAAAATCCTTTATCGGTCGGGGTCTAGTTTTTTTTTTTTTTTTTTTGATTGTAAAAATTCTATATTTCACAAAGCCTTAGTTGTTTGCATTGGTCTAATTGAATCGTCATGTTACTGGAAGTGATTTGCTATCTTTTAATTATGAATAGAGACAGTATGTGAATAAACAGAGCAGGGCAAACTTATGCTTAATTGTTCCTGTCCTTTCAGAGCCACCCCAGCCGAGCTTCTGGGAGACCCTGTGTTTGAGAGCATGTCCTGTCAGTACACACCCTACCAGTGCCCCGTGCGTCTGTTCGCTGCCGCCCCGCGCTGTGCACATTTAGAGCTTCCTGAGGACATCAGCGAACTCTGTAAAGGTTCGGCTCACCAGAACTCGCACTAGAGAAAAATGTTCAAAATCGTTTTAATGACTGTAAAAACTAAATGCTACAAATTAGGTTAATGACTCTTCCGCTGTGTTGTGTAGATGAGGGAGAGAACTACCTGGTAGAGAGAGGCATAGATGAGGTGTATCACCTGTGGTGTCTGGCAGGAGGAGACCTAGAGAAAGAGCTGACCAATCAAGAGATCATCCAGTCAAAACCTCCCGTCTGCACCCTTCCCAAGTACCCGCATTCATTAGCATCACAGCTTCACCATTATTTCAGGGTGCAGAATAAGCTAACTTGTTACCATTGTCAAATGTGTTTGTTCTTTAGGTTCATTTTGGAGGATGGCGAGTCTTTTGGTCAAGGCCGGGACAGAAGTTTCCTTCTGGATGACACAACTGTGACACTTTCTCTTTATCAGCTCAAAAATGTTAGTGTGTTTGCTTGTATGGTCCATCAAATGTAAAAAGAAAAACTGTATATTGTTATAATTAACTCTTTTTTTTTTTTTCCTAAAGCATTATCATACTTTATCTTTTAGGGGTCATTTCTTAATTCTTGCCAAATTTGGTGTGCGATCAATTTGAATGGTGGATTTGCTCGACCGAATATGGTGAAAAGGTTCTCAGCCAATCAGATCCGAGAAGCAGAATTTTAAAGAAACAAAAAAACATACATTTGGAAAAAAAAAAAAAAAAAATTGAATGTCTTTTTACAAATTTGGTTGTTGAGTTTTGAAACTGAATCTGGACAATATTGGTGCTGTTTATTGGTGCCCCATATTATTTTATTTCTAACAAATCCCCCCAAAATGATGTAATTTGTCCTGTTAAACACTTCTGATCTGTCATTGTAGAGACTGAAGGACGTTGCTGGAGAGACGTTCTATCCGTTATTGGAAGATGAGTAAGAAATGTTCTCTTGTTCATTATCTCTGCTTGTGTTCAGTATTCTGGTGTGTTTGGCAGCATGTCCCGTGTGTCCCGCAGGCAATCCAGCCTGCCTCAGTCTAACAGCAGTAATGAACTGTCTGCCACCGTCACACTGCCCCTCATTATCCGGGAGAGAGATACCGAGTACCAGCTCACCCGCATTGTCCTCTTCGACAGACTGCTCAAGGTCCTTTACACACACACACAGTTTCTGAAAATGACCATATAAGAATAGCTGATGCAATCACCTAATAATGGATGTCCACCCACAGGGAAAATGGTTCATAAAGATTCTATATTATGTGCTTTTTTTCATCTAAAAATGTAAAAGTTTTTTTTTTTTTTTGAGGTTAGTTTTAGGGTTTGCGTTATTGACATTTTTATAAAGACCGCAAAAACTGTTGAATGTAAAACAAATTTTGTCCTTTTGAAACCTTTTTTTGTTTGATGATAGCTGATAGATTCATAGCAATATACTTCATCTGCTCGTGGATTGAGTTTTAACACGGCTGCTAATACTGTAAAATAAATGTACTGTATAAAATAAATAAATAAATAAGTGCAGGCTGCAAAACTACCATGATGAACAAATATTTTACTGTTTAAATAATAAATGGTTTTATTTTGCTTAAAGATTAAGGTTTTTAACTTCAGGATGTTATTTTTTATGAGAATTAAACACATTTTCTCCCCCAGAAATCTCATTATTCGAAAGCATTCCTTTATACTGAATAATAATTCTCAGATTTTCATTTCTTTCTTTCTTTCTTTCTTTCTTTCTTTTTCTTTCTTTCTTTCTTTCTTTCTTTCTTTCTTCTTTCTTTCTTTCTTTCTTTCTTTCTTTCTTTCTTTCCTTCTTTCTTTCTTTCTTTCCTTTTTTCCTTCCTTCTTTCTTTCTTTCTTTCTTTCTTTCCTTTTTTCCTTCCTTCTTTCTTTCTTTCTTTCTTTCTTTCTTCTTTCTTTCTTTCTTTCTTTCTTTCTTTCTTTCTTTTCTTTCTTTCTTTCTTTCTTTCTTTCTTTCTTTCTTTCTTTCTTTTTTTTCTTTCCTTCTTCTTTACATCTATCTTTCTTTACTTCCTTCTTTTTTCCATCTTTCTTTCCTTCTATCTTTCTTTCCATCTTTCTTTCCTTCTTTCCTTCCATCTTTATGTCTTTCTTTCTTTCTTTCTTTCTTTCTTCTATCTTTACATCGATCTTTACGTCTATCTTTCTTTCTTTCCTTCCTTCTTTCTTTCCATCTTTCTTTCCTTCTATCTTTCCTTTTTTATTCTTTCATTCTTTCTTTCCTTCCATTTTTCTTTCTTTCCACCTTTCCTTCTTTCTGTCCTTCTTTCTTTCTTTCTTTACTTCTTTCTTTCTTTCTTTCTTCTTTCTTTCTTTCTTTCTTTCTTTCTTTCTTTCTTTCTCCATATTTCTTTCCTTTTTCCTTCTATCTTTACATCTATCTTTACGTCTCATCTCTTCTTTCCTTCCATTTTTCTTTCTTTCCACCTTTCCTTCTTTCTTTACTTCTTTCTTCCTTCTATCCTTCTTTCCTTCTATCTTTCTTTCTTTCTTTCTTTCTTTCTTTCTTTCTTTCTTTCTTTCTTTCTTTCTTTCTTTCTTTCTTTTTTCTTTCTTTCTGTCCTTCTTCTTTCTTTCCTTCTTTCCATTTTATTTCAATCTTTCTTCCTTTCTTCTTTTCCATCTTTCTTTCACAACAGATCTTATGAGATTCCCTGGTGTAATAATGAAATAAATATTTTGTGATAATTTTTTTAGGCGTACCCCTACAAGAAGAACCAGGTGTGGAGGGAGGCGAGGGTTGACATTCCTCCTCTTCTGAGGGGTCTGGCCTGGGCAGCCTTACTAGGAGTGGAGGTACCAACAAATACTGCATTTTACACCAAGGAACAGATTGTTCCTTCATGTTGTTGTTCAGCAGTAGGCATTTTACGACCTTTACAACAGGGAACTTTTAATTCCTTTTGAGTCAAATCAAAATGTTGATGCATTTGCCTACTAAAAAGCATGCTTGGCATTTTTTGGTCATTAATGGACTATTGATTCCTGTGTTTGCTTTGTGTGTACAATCCAATGTTGACAAAATCAATGCACATTTCACTTTTAAGCATTGACCTTTTCCATTGTATTAGTAAACATTCCTTTTAGTGCTACACTCCTATTTTTATTCCCACATTCAAATCAGTATATATATAACTCCCACAGGGGGATATCCAATCGAAATATGACGGCATCGATAAGGACACGCCCATCCCCACTGATAGACAGGTGAGAATCACTTCCATGTGTTTGATAGTCTTTGTGTTGATTAAGATTATTGAAAAACTGAATAATTCACCAGGCTATTGAATAATTCACTTTGTTTGTGGAGTTCCTGTCTTCACCTTTAAGCCTGGTTATGATTTTACTATTCACTGCTGAATATTTCAAACGATCCAGGAGCAAACAGCGCTGACGGAGACATGTCATGCCCACCTCATCTGACTTCATTTAAGACTGCAGCTTTTATGCATTAGAAGCTTTAGAGGTTTATTATCATTTGTGACACAGATTGAAGTGGACATCCCTCGCTGTCACCAGTACGATGAGCTGTTGTCGTCGCCTCAGGGTCACGTCAAGTTTCGGCGGGTGCTCAAGGCCTGGGTGGTGTCTCATCCTGATCTGGTGTACTGGCAAGGTGATGGAGCAATAGTTGGGTGGGGTCATATGCACGGTTTCTTCTTCCTGCCACTAGATGGCAGCAAAGCCTTTGTAACAGATATCTTTACGTTCTGGTGGCCTTAAAGTTCTTACTATCTGATAAAGATAACAGATCAAATCAAGTGTGTGCGCTGATGTGATTTATTAATGTCTGTGCAAGTCTCACAACCTGTGAAGAACATCTCTGGGTCATATTTTTCCCTAATGCAATGAAAAGTAATCAGAAATGATCATTTCCATATTTCGAGTATAATTATAATTAAGCTGATTTTAAGACCATCAGGTGTTTTTCATTGTGCATTTATTATCATTACAATTATGCCCCCCCCCCCCC